TTGACTGAGATGGGAAGCCATAGAAATTGAGCAAACAAACAGACAAATGAAGGCCCTTCGTGTTTCTTCCTATTATTAATGTCCAATAAAATTTAGAGGGAAGCCATATATTTGGGTTGGTAAAACAAAATTTCATTCAGCTCCCCAAGATTTGTTGATTCTGTTTCTATCACCTAGCCAAGCAAATTGTGCACTTGTTTTACTACAATATAAAGGCATTTTTTTTAAAAAATAATAATAATCTCTGAACCAAATCTCAAGAGAGTTATTAAGGATGGAAATATCAAAACAACCTAAACTGAATCAGAACAAAAGCTATACATTTATTGCTTAATCACATTAGAAAAAATAACATCATCTTCTTTCTATCAGACCTTTCGAATGATAGCAACATTTCTTTGCTAAATATATACTTTGCTTTTCTTCTGGGAAGTGAAAAAGATGTACACCTCCTCCTCCTCCAGCTTTTCTCATAACTGTCGATGGAGTAGCTTAATAGACAGATACTTTATGAGGGAGGGTTGGCTATTATAATTCCTTGAACAAATTGCTGGATATGGCCTTGGCAATTATAGACCAAATTGTTTGTTGAGTATTGTAAGCCAACTCTAAGCTGGCACTTAACAATGAAAAACTTTGGAATGGACAAAAAAAAAAGGAGTTTAGGGAAGGGCATACCCCTATATATTTTAATACCTAATCGATAAGTGTTGCAATCTTGACTTTATGCTTTTATCTACCAACAGATTAAAACTATACCTATGTAAGAATTAGATGCAATGTGAATTGGGTTCCTCTCTGATGCAAGTACTTAGTGTAAGACAAAACTGTGTTTTGGTTTCTTTAACCTCTATTATCAACATCTTATCCAAAAAACTTAAATACAGTTCAGCAACATTCACCTAGATTATCTGATTTAAACATTCCGGTATTATTGTACATTGATTATGCCGTTCCGCTCTCAACAACTTTATTCGGTACTAAAGGCATTAGCCCGTAATTGTAGCGAGGATAATTTATTCATGAAGTACCCAAAGATCAAAATAATGGCCAAAACACCGAAGCTGCACCATTGACTTGTCCATTTTCAATAGACAGAGCAAGTTAAATTCTTCAGTTAGGTGAAGGGGTGGCATACCATTCTTCAGGAGGAATAAAGTCACAAACAGCACCAGCAGAACAAAGAATTACAACAGCCATTTTAATTTTTCTGAAATTCACCACATTTTTTTAAAAATATTTTTCCCCATGTTTGATGGCTTATGTGGTTCGGTCTTGGCTGCCATCAAAATCGTTCCAGTTGAAATCACTGGCTCAGTTTGTTTATAGTCTGCTGTGACACATACTCTAATCACATAATGCTCATATTAATACAAACCAGGTTTCTCAGGGCAATTGTGCAGCTTCTGAGGTGTGTGTACCAGGTGCAGTTTTATGATTAGAGGTTGCAACCAGAATTCGGTTTGCAGTTACTAATTATTGGTGCGTATATGAACACCTTATCCAAAATATGGCAAAATTGTGTGTAACAGCTTGCCACACGAGAGAGGAAATAACAGTTACAGGAGCTGACATAATTTAACATAAGTGAAGTTTGTTAGAATTTTTAATAGGTATCTATTAATTAGCCATAAGGGTTATTATTCTCTTTAATCAACCGTAATAGGGTTGGCCTTTGTCTGTAGTAAAATCTTTGACTTGACCCATGGGTTAGAATGGATCAAGATAGGAGACTGGCACGAAATCATAAAGTGAACCTCCGTAGCCGAATGTAAATAAAATATATATATCTTGTTCAATATGCAGTGGGGTATATAGATAGGAAATGAATCCGTGTGATAAGATGTTCAAAATGTAACACAACAAACTAAAATAAAAAGGAGGGTGTGGCATACAAATGGGGATTATATAATTTCAAGTTTGCACTGAAAAAAAAAGTATCCATTCCATTCATTATAGTTATTTCTAAGCCAATATATCCCAGATCAGGGGGAGGAAAACAGGTCAGATCTTCTATTTTACATGATAGCGCATTGACGTGCGGGCGTGATTTTTTCATGAGAGCCAGCTTCTAAGTGAATGCTTCCCCCCATGTTTGAATCAACTTTTTAATCATCAAAATCCTTGGCCTGATTAGCTCAGTAAAGATTGTTTGTTTTCTTGATGTTGCAAATGATGCTTTCTCAATCAGGAGAAAGCATCGTTGAGATCTATTTCCTTTCAGGTTTCTATGTCTTTAATGCCACTTGGAACCATTTAGACCTGTTCCTCCACCTGGCTACGTTTATAAAAAAAATATACCGTCTAAAAATTCTTGTTCAAGACACACTTCTTCACATGTTATTCTGCAATGTGGAAATTGAATCATATGGATATCTCCTTGCAATATAAAGCAGCATCCATTGATTCAGGCTTTCAGGCCGGATATGAGGAAAAACAAAGCCCATTCATACAAATATATATATATAGAGAGATATATTTATTGGGAAGAGGCTGGCATATTTAGCAATTCATATTCATAATTACCTCTCCCATTTCCTGAGATCAGTAGTAGATGCTGGAAGAGGAAGATGCGGGCTACAAAGGATTCCTAAACTGGTTTGGGGATTTAAAATTACAGCCAGGAGGGAGGGAGGAAGGGCTGAGACACTGGTAAATTTCCAGAGACTCCTGCATAGAAGAATGGGAGAAAGGAGGGGTTTAGGGTTTCTGACGCATTATGAAAGGAAGATGAGAGGAAGTGCCTTGATATATTTCTACTAATTGACAGAAAAAGAGCTCTAATAGAGGTAGAAGAAAGGAATAAATAAAGCTGGAGACCCCTGGTTTACCTACTGCCATTTAAGATTACACGAAACCTTTGACTGTAAATCAGAAAATCTAGGCTACATATAACCAATTATCTGCTTCAAGATTTGCCTGTAGTGAACTTCTCAATGCCAATCTACAGTTGAGGCACGTGGTTACTACAGGTTTCCAATTAGAAGCAATTCTCGGGTAACAATTACTTGAATAGTTCTCAAAAATATATTTATTTAAATCAAAATGCCTAAATTTAATTTAACTATAGGAAAAGCTGTTTGCTATTTTTGTACTGATTAATAATGTTTTCAGTTCATGCAAAACACTAAGCTGTGGCTGGTTTAGTTTCTTCAGTGTAATAAAGGCCAAATAAATAACTTATCAAATGCTATATTTCATATAACAGATAAAATTCAGAGGATGATTAAATTATTCAACTAACAAACAGAATTTGCTAGACTTGTAAAAAAAAGGATTCTGGTGTTTTGTTTTGTTTTAAAAAAGCAACTATTCACAGGGACAAGAAATTAAAATGAAATTATTTATATCACATTTGCTAATGCATAAATAAAAATTTGAGAAGATGTATGTTGAGAAAGATGTGCTCTAAATAACTGAACGCCTTGAAGCATGACATTGGCTAACTAATATCTTTCAAGCAGAGATTGGTTTGGTTACATATTTTATTCCTTACATTTGATTTCCCTGGCTTAGTTATTGCTCGTTGGGATATTTCATCTAATGACAGGTATATTCTCCAAATTTCAGGCACCTTGGGCAAATCCAGAGCTGAACATTATGGAGCCTGGAGCAGAATAAGGCCAAGTTCATCTTCAATAGGTCTGAATTTTCACAACCTTCTGTCTCACTCAATTTCTGGAGATGAAGACAGCAAAACTATTTTTTTAGTAAAATAGTCTGGGTGATGGAAGAAGAATGATGAAGACTCTATTGGATTTCATTGTCTGGAAGTGATTTTTTTTAAAGTCAGAATGCTCTTAGTGATCAGGTAATCCCAGAGGAACAAAATAACTTTATTATTTTTTTTGCCTAGGAATTAGACATCATGTTTAAGGAAAGATCTGTAGCTTGGGTCCCAAGCAACAAACAATTTCTGATCTCTACTCTTGAACCAAATACAGTGGCATATTAATCACTAATTTTTATTAGTGGATATTTTTAAAAAGTAGTGTCTTTTTAAAAAGTCAAAAATAGCCTATTTAATGGCAAAAGTTTGACCTTATTTTTTTTTAATAACACATATGCAAGATGTGCTTGAAAGTTGTATTTGGATTACATACTGCATACTACAAAGTTGACATGATAAAAAGTCTAAAATGTGAATACTTCTGCTAACTAAGAGGGAGTGGCTGCTGCAATATTGTAGCACTTTCTAGCAATTTATATGGTCTTAAATGTTTAGATTGTGTTTTGATGTACATCACAGATAAGTTTCAGATCAATTCAACTCAGACAGATGTTAAGCTTCCATTTGAAAAAGGTATAAAGATTTCTAAATAAAAATCTTATATCCTAAGTGGCTTTCCTTCCCTCTGTAAATGTTTGCTCCTTAATGTCCTCAAGCCTTTTAATAGTTATTTATTCTGGTATTTCTATTCACAGTTGAACTGGAATAAGATCCAGTGCAAGCAGAAACCTAGATCTGTAGGGGAACAACAGCAGCCCTGAACAGATTTCAAATATTTCTTGACAGGGTTGGGATTAGTCCTACCTTGGAAATGCTGCCAAATAATATATCACTATGCAAAATAAAAATAAAAACTGGATGCATATAAAATATATAACAAACTTAAAGGAACAAACCTGGTTTATGAGAAACATTCCGTATTTGGACTTTAGTTTAAAAAACCAATGCATAGAACCTTAAGGAGAAATGATGGGCAAACACTTATTCCTTCTTCTAATATAAGGATTCAAATAATCAGCTTAAATTAAAATGGTTTTGCTGCTGCGTTTAAGATCAAGCTTTTTGTTCCTTCAGTAAAAGCCATTTAAAAATACCCTATGCATTTTGTTTCTAAAGTTTGGGGTTTTGTCTTTTGATATTTGCTCGTGATAATAATCTGGTGGGTTTTTTTTTTCTCTCTTTTCCAAAACTTGAAAAATGTCATCTTCTGAATGGGGGGAAAAAAAACATCAAAAGGAAGGAAGCGTAATAGAGAGAGAATCCAGCTCACCTTGAAGCCCGTTTCCATTGGCGCTGGTGCAAGATGGCGGAGGAGAAGCTTGGGGCCTGACCACCGGAGCAAACGCGCTCTTTTGTTTCACTGCAGAGATGACATTGGCAGGTGAGAATGAGAAAATGCCGTGTGTACTGCTACAGTTTGAAGGAAGGGTGACCGAAGAGGCTGCCATGGTAGGGCTTGACGGCACTACTGTAACAAAGCAAAAATAATCAGGACTCATATTGAGGATGTTTACGGCAAACAGGAAGGGGAGGGGGAAAAAAAGAAGTACCGTAGGGCCTCGCCTCTTTACGGGGAAGGATAAGAACATATATAAAAATAAAATGCTTTTGGCTTGCCACCCTCTGGATAACAGGCAAACTCTCTTGCCTTGGACCTTGATTGTAAATTGAGCAGTCCAATCTGGTACTTACTCTTTCCTCTTTTAGCGTTAATTTATTTTTTGGAAAGTACCAATATATTGTCCTTGATCTTTTTCCTTTTTAACTGTCCAGCCTCCAGAGTCACCCTCCTTTTATCCAGTAGCTTACGTCGAAGGAAGTAACAAAGTAAGTTCTTAACAAAACAGGAATGGTGTAAGGATGTGCCTTAGGAATAAAGACTTACTGCCGTAAGGGGAGTTCGCGGTCGAGCCATTAAGGAATCCAGGGGAACCAGGTACACCAAGGTTGGGCATGCTGGCATTGCCGTATCCATTCATACTATTGCTGACTGTGTTGTAGTTGGACTGTTGAGGAGTACTGCTTGGGACGTATCCTCGCGGGGAAACACTGCTTGTGTTGCGACTGTAACCTACTGAATTGGGAGGAAAAACCCATCCCAAGAAAAGGATGATTATTATTATGGGGCATGGAGAGTTTCCTACAACATCATAGATTGCACGATTAATTGCCCATGGAAATTCTCAACTATCCACTGTCACTGCTGTTGCAAAGTGGTCTAGGATAACTCTCTGTGATCAACTCACTGCAGCCAACTCGCTGTAGCAAACTTGCCATGGCCAACTTACTTACTTACTTACTTACTTACTTACTTACTTACCTACCTACCTACCTACCTACCTACCTACCTACTTATTCATTCATTCATTCATTCATTCATTCATTCATTTATTTATTTATTTATTTATTTATTTATGGGATTTATATGCCGCCCAATCCCGAAGGACTCTGGGCGGCTTACAGAAAGAAGGGGAAAGAAATAATAAAAAAAGAAAAGAGACAGATTTAAAATCACAACACATGCACTCGCTCTAATCGGGGCTGGACCTCAACAAGGAGGTAAACAGCCCCAGGCCTGCCGGAATAGACAGGTCTTGACAGCTTTTCTGAAGCCCATGAGAGTGGTTATAGTGCAGATCACTGGGAGTAGCTGATTCCAAAGGGTCGGAGCAGCCACAGAGAAGGCCCTCCTCCGGGGAGCCGCCAGCTGACATTGTCTGGCTGGCGGCA